TGTAGTTTGTGATAAAATTTTAAGGAACATCTGGGCAACATTTAAACTTTAGTATAGATATTTACAGAGCTCTGCTGGCAGAGTAGTTAAAGCATTCAGCTGTTAAAAGATCAGTGGTTTGAACCTAAAATCTTCTCTGTGGAAGAAAGGTGAGGTACTGCACTGTCGTAAAGATTTACAGCCTTGGAAAAACCACCCTATGGGTTAATTCTACTCTGTCTTATGGGGTTGCTACAATTCAGAATCAACTTGATGGCAGTATCTATTTATTTATTTATTTAATATGTCTTTACAAGTATTTGCATTATTAAACCCAAAAAAGAAAAACGTAAGTCTGAAAACAAAGCTAAAAGAAAGAAGCATTCTTTCATTTTTACTGGTCTACATATATGGACCACTACTCATTTGTCAGTTTCTCATTATGTGTTGGTTTGCATGTTGTTGTGATACTGGAAGCTATGCCACAAGTATTTCAAATAACAGTAGGGTCACCTATGATAAACAGGTTTCAATGGATCTTCCAGATTAAGACAGACTAGGAAGAAGGATGTGGCCAGGTCCACTGCTAAAAATATTGGCCACTCAGAAACTTACAAATAAGAGTGCCACATCTTCTGATACAGTGCTAGAAGATGAGCCCATCAGGTTGAAAGACACTCAAAAAACGACTGGGGAAAAGCTGCCTCCTCTGATAGAGCTGACCTTAATGACATGGATGGAGTAAAGCTTTTGGGACCTTTATTTGCTAATGTGGCAAAATTCAAAATGAGAAGAAATAGTTATAAACAATCCATTAACAACTGGAACGTGGAATGTACAGAATATAAATCTAGGAAAAATTGAAGTTGTGAAAAATGAAATGAAATGCATAAAGATTAATACCCCAGGCATTGTTTTTGTTAGGTGCTGTCCAGTCAACTCTGACTCATGGCAACATTATGTACAACAGAACAAAACACTGCCAGGTCCTGTGCCATCCTCATGATCATGCTATGCTTGAGCTCCTAATTGCAGGGACTGCTTCAATCCATCTTGTGAGGATCTTCGCTTTCTTCACTGATGCTCTTCTTAATCAAACATGATATCCTTCTCCAGGGAATGATCTCTTCTGACTGCATGACCAAAGTAGGTGAGACAAAAGCTGGCCATTCTCACTTCTAAGGAGATTTCTGGCTACACATCTTCCAGGACAGAGTTCTGGAAGTCCATGGTATTTTCAGTATTCTTCGCCAACACCACAATTCAACTATTCTTCAGTCTTCCTTATTATTTGTGCATTTTTTCACGTGCATATAAAGCAATTGAAAATGCCATGGGTTGGGCTAGGTGCACTTTGGTCTTTGAAATAACATCTTTTTTTCTTAACACTTTAAAGAGGCCTTTTGCAGCAGATTTTACCAGTACAATATAATGGCTGATTTCCCGACTGGTGCTTCCATGGATGTTGACATGGATCCAAGTAAAACGAAACATTTGATGACTTCAATTTTTTCTCTGTTTATCATGATGTAGCTTATCGGTCCAGTAAGTAGAATTTTCTTTTTTTTTTTTTTTCTTTTTATTAAGGTGTAATCCATCCTGAAGACTACACTCTTTGATCTTCATCAGTAAGTGCTTTAAGTCATCTTCACGTTTAGCAAGCAAAGTTGTGTCATCTGCATATTGCAGGTTGTTAATGGTTCTTCTTCCAATCATATTCCAGACATTAGTGACCTGAAATTCCCCATTTTGAATCAGACAAGCATATGACCTTTTATGCCACGAGTGAGAAATTAAAGAGGATGGTGTTGTCTTCATTGTCAAAAAGAACATTTCAAGATCTATCCTGACATACAATGCTGTCAGTGATAAGACTACCTACAAAATACCTACAAGGAAGACCAGTTAATACAACTTTATTCAGATTAGCCACAAACCACCAAAGCCAAAGAGGAAGACATTGAAGATTTTTATCAACTTCTGTGTCTGAAATTGACCAACATGCAATCAAGATGTATTGATAATTACTGGTAATTGGAAAGGGAACATTAGGAATAAAGAAGCAGAATTGTAGTCGGAAAATATGGCCTTGGTGAAAGAAATGACACTGGAGATCACGTGTAGAATTTTGCAAGACCAGTGACTTTCAATTGCAAATAACTTTTTTTCTATAACATAAATGGTGACTGTACATGTGGACTTCACCAGATGGAATATACAGGAATCAAACTGATTGGAAAGAGACAGGGGAGAAATTCAATATCCTCAGTCAGAACAAGACCAGAGACCAACTGTGCAACAGACCATTAATTGCTTATATGAAAGTTTAAGTCAAAGCTGAAGAGAATCAAACAAGTCCATGAGAACCAAAAGATGACCTTGATTATATCCCACCTGAAAGTAGAGATCATCTGAAGAATAGATTTGATAGACTGAGCACCAGTGAATGAAGATGAGATGAGTTGTGGGGTGACATCAGAGACATTATTTATGGAGAAAGTGAAAAGTCATTAAAGAGACAGGAAAGGAAGAGAAAACCAAAATAGATGCCAGAAGGGATTCTGAAATTTGTTCTTGAAAAGACAGTAGCTAGCTAGAATGGAAGAAATAATGAAACAAAAGAGTTGAACAGATGATTTCAAAAGACAGCTCAATAAGACAAAGTAATTATTATAATGAAATGTGCAAAGCTCTGGAGTTGGAAAATCAAGGGGAAGAACATTCTCTGCACTTCTCAGCTGAAGGAACTGAAGAAAAAATCAAGACTCTAGTTGTAATACTGAAGGAATCAATGAGCAAAATATTGAACAATGGAGGCCACAAAATTTGGAAGATAGCTACCCAGACAATTGAGTGAAAGAAACCCATAATCTTGTCCCTTCCAAAGTGAAGTGACCCAATAGAATGCAGAAATTATCAAACAATATCATTAATGTCACACACAAGTAAAATATTGCTGAAGATAATTCAAAAATAGTTGCAGCAGTACATCAATAGGGAAAAATGGAAAATTCAAGCCCAATTAAGAAGAGGGTGTGGAATGAGGGATATCATTGCTGATGCCAGATAGGTCTTGGCTGAGAGCAAAGAATGCCAGAAAGAAGTTTACCTTGTTTTGTTCATATGCAAAGGCTTTTGACTGTGTAGATCACAACAAATTATGGATAACATTGTGAGAAACACTTAATTGTGCTCATGAGGAAATCGCACAGTGACCAAGAAGCAGTCATTTGAACAGAACAAGGGGATATTGTATGATTTGGAATCAAGAAAGGTGTGAATAAGGATTGTATCCTTTCTTCACACTTACTCAATCTGAATACTGGGCAAATTATCCAAGAAACTGTACTAGAACGCAACATCAGGGTTGGTGGAAACTCATTAACAACCTGTGATTTGCAGATGACACAACCTTGCTTGCTAAAAATAAAGAGGACTTAAAGTATTTACTGATGAAGATCGAAGACTACACCTTCAGTATGGATTACACATCAGTATAAAGAAAGCAAAAATCCTCGCAACTGAACCAGTAAGCAACATCACAATAAATGGAGAAAAATTGGAAGTTGTCAAGGATTTCATTTAACTTAGATCCACAATCAGTGCCAATGGAAGCAGCAGTCAAGAAATGAGATTATGTATTGTACTGGGCAACTTTGCTGCAAAAGACCTCTTTAAGTGTTAAAGAACAAAGATGTTACTTTGAAAATTAAGATATTCCTGACCAAGTCATGATATTTTCAATATCCTCATATGCATGTGAGAACCAGAAAATGAAAAAGAAGGACCACAGAAGAGTTCATGTCATTGAATTGTGGTGATGGCAAAGAATACTGAACATACCATGGACTAATAGAAGAATGTACCATGGACTGATAGAAGGAAGAACAAATCTGTCCTGGAGGAAGTATAGCCAGAATGCTCCTTAGAAGTGCAAATGGCCAGCTTTTGTCTCACCTACTTTAGTCATGTTGTCAGAAGAATTCAATCCCTTTAGATGGATATCATGCTTGGTAAAGTGGTGGGACGGTGAAAAAGGGGATGACCCTCAACGAAATGGATTGACACAGTGGCTGCAAGAATAGGCTCACGCATAGCAATGATTGTGAAGATGGGGCAGGAGCAGACAATGTTTCCTTCTGTTATACATAAGGTTGCTATGAGTCAGAACTGAATCTACAGCACCTAACAAAAACAACATATAAGGAAAAAAAACATATCATTTGTACCCATTTTAAAAATGGTGTGATAATTTATCTCACAAATTACTTTATGAGGAAGAAAAAAATCTCCCTTATTGTTATTCTTTTTTTTGAATGCCATTGAATCAATTCAAACTCATAGAGACTCCATGTGACAGAGTAGAACTATCTCATAGGTTGTTCTTGGCTGTGACATTTATACAGCCTTTGAGTGTTCTAAACCCACCAACATTTTCTAACTGAGTGCTTAGCCATTTGCACATGAGGGCTCCTAACATGCTACCTAGAAAACTTAAAGGTTGTTTATATACCACAATTCTTATTTGGAATTAAACTTCTCAAACATTACCTGTGATGAAGAAGCTTCCCAGCTTATAGAATTTTGATCCAAATGTCTTTTAAAAAATTCACTGGCCTAGGATATGCTCCCAAATGTGCTGCTTTTACAAATCTGTGATGCTTTCTCAACAATGGTTTTTAAAATGTTTAGGTCACCAGTTACATTGAGAATATAATGTCAGCTTTAGATGATCTCCAATCCAAAATGCACATAGTCTAAAAATTGCACATACAATTTCAAGGAATTCATAAACCTCCCCTTTTCTCTCACACAATGACATCATGGACCTTAGATATAAGATTTTAAAAACTTTATATCAAAGTTCATTTTTTCATTTTAATAAAAGGTTAGTAGAAATTTAGGTTTGAGTTTTGAAAGATTCAACAATAGATTAAGGTTTTCAATTTTATATATTTGGTATTTGGAAACTACCTGGACAGATACAATCATAGATCTTTAATGGATTTTTCCCCCTACAGCTATAGACTAGCTCCCCAACACCACTTTCCTGCTCAATTGGAAGATGGCATGGCTGCAGTCAAGTTTTTTCTTCAGGATAAAATTCTTAGAAAGTATGGAGTGGATCCCAACCGAATCTGTATTTCAGGAGACAGTTCTGGAGCTACTTTAACAGCAGCAATAAGTCAAGAGGTACATATCTATCTAACTATCTATCTATCTATATTTTATGTTGCTGTTGTTGTTATGTGCCATGGAGTCAGCCTGACTCATAGAAACCCCTCCTTGGGTTTCTGAGGCAGTATCACTATGGAAGTAGATTGCCCAACCTTCCTTCCGAGGGGTGGCTGGTAGGTTTGAACCACCAGCCTTCTGGTTAGCAGTCAAGTGCTTTAGGCACTATGCTACCAGAGCTCCCATATTTTATGTAGGGAAGTAGAAGTTGAGGTTTATTTATTTATTTATTTTTCCCGTACAAATATTCAGTTCTTTCAGCACCATTTATTGAAAGGACTATCATTTCCCCATTGAATCACAGAGGTCAAAATGTAATTGATCATAATAAGAGGATCCATTTTTTTTTAATTCTTCCCATTCTATTAATATGCCTATTATTATGCCAAAACTACACTGACTCCAACTTTGTTCTTTTTCAAAACTGCTTCTAGTATTTATTCCATGTCTTTCCCATTTTCGGCAAAATATTAGGATAGCTTATCAATTTCTAAAATTAAAACTTAATTGAATTTTGATTGGCATCGTATTGAATCTATAGATTTGCTTGAGCAAGACTGACATACTGAGACTTCCAATTCATGCATATGTTACATCCCGTGTTGTATTTACAGCCTTTTTAATTTTCTCAGCAATAGCTTATGGTTTTCAGTGTAGAAACCATGACGATCCTTTCTCAAATTTATTTTTGAGTATTTTAGATTAATTTGATTTAGAATAATATTTTTCAAGTGCTTATTAACAGTACATGAAAATGTAATTGATTTTTATATTGGTCTTTTACCATCATATATTTGATAAATTCACTTATAGATTCTAGGCACTACACCGCCAGAGCTCCCTCTTTATGTATATATCCTCATATATTAGTGTATATGTGTGTGTGTGTGTATTTATGTGTGCAAACATATGTGTATATATATATAAGTGATATATGTATACATACATATATAAATTAAATATATCCATTTAACAAAACATTGATTGACATAGAACAAACATTCTCAATAGGATAATATCACCTGTAAGGGGGCAAAAATTGGTTCTTAGTGGAGGCAAAAATATTATTCTTTTTATTTATAAAGCACAGATAATCTAAATATATATTTACAGTGTATCTGTGATATCTACCACTCATGTGTAAGTTGGCTTATGTGTTGCTGTGATGCTGGAAGCTTGCTACCAATATTTCAAACACCAGCAAGATCACCCATAATGGACAGATTTCAATAAAGCTTCTAGATTAGGCCAGATTGGAAAGAAGGATAGAACCATGCACTTCTGAAAAAATTAGCCACTGAAAATCTTATGAATAGCAGTAAAACATATTGTCTGATACATTACTAGAAAACTTTAAATATCTGTGAAATATTGTTTGATATAGTGTCAAAACATGAGCTGGTTGGAAGGCACTCAGAATATGACTAGGAAGAGTGACTTCCTCAAAGTAGAGCTGATTTTAATAATGTGGTTGGAGTAAAACTATCAGGATTTTCATTTGCTGATGGTACATATCTCAAAATGACAAGAAACAGCTGCAAACATTCATTAATAATTGGGACATGAATGTATGAACTATGAATCTGGGAAAACTGGAAGTTGTAAAAAATGAACTGGAACTCATAAAAATCAATATCCTAGGCTGAAATGGACTGATATTGGCCATTTTGAATCTGACAATCATATAGTCTTCTATGCTAGCAATGATGAATTGAGAGTAATGGTGTCACATTTATTGTTAAAAAGAATATTTTAAGATCTATCCCAAAGTACAATGCTATCAGAGATAGGATAATATCTATACACCTACAAGGAAGACCAATCAATACTACTATTATTCAAATTTACACATGAACCACTAAAGCCAAAGATGAAGAAATTGAAGATTTTTACCAATTTCTGCATTATGAAATTTACCAGAAATGCAACCAAGCTGTATTGACAATTACTGGTGATTGGAACAGGGAAGTTGGAATTATTTTTTAGAGAAACACTGGTATTTGGAAAATATGGTCTTGGTGATAGAAATGGACAGCTTGAGAAGACAAAATAAAGTATTATAATGAAATGTACAAAGACCTGGAATTAGAAAACCAAAAAGGAAGAGACACTTGGGATTTCTGAAGCTGAAAAATCTGAAGAAAAAAACCAAGCCTTGAGTTGCCATGTTAAAGGATTCTAAGGGCAAAATAGGAAAGTATTGAATGAATGTGTGAAGTATCAAAAGAAGATGGAAGAAATACACAGTCACTGTATGAAAAAGAATTGATTAACATTTGACCATTTCAGGAGGTAGCATGTGATCAAAAACCAATGATATTGAAGGAAGAAGTTTAAGCTTCAAAGAAGGAATTGGTGAATAATAGGGCTCCAGGAATTGACAGAATACCCATTTAGATGTTTCAACAAAAAAGAAACAGCACTGGAGGCACTTACTTGTTTATATCAAAAAAAAAAATTTGTAAGACAGTACCCTGGCCTGGAAGAGATCCATATTAGTGTCCATCCCAAAGAAAACTGATCCAAGAGAATGTGAAAATAATTAAACAATATCATTGCTATCACATGAGAGTAAAATGTTGCTGAAGATAATTCAGAAACGGTTGCAGCAGTATATTGCCAGGGAACTGTCAGAAATTCAAGCCAGAATCACAATAAGGCATGGAATGAGGGACATTATAGCTGATGTCAGATGGATCTTGGCTGAAAATGAAAAATAACAGACAGATGTTTACAGGTGTTTTATTGACGATGCAGAGGCATTCAACTATGCAGATTATAACTATAATCCTTATAAACTAAGGATAACATTTCAAAAATGGGAATTCCAGAACACTTAATTGTGCTCATGAAGAATATGTACATAGACCAAGAGGCCATCCTATGAACAGAACAAAGGGATACTGAATGCTTTAAAATCAGGAAATGTGTACATCAGGGTTGTATTCTTTCACCATATTTATTCAATCTGTGTCCTGAGCAAATAATCTGAGAAGCCATACTATACCAAGAAGAACGTAGTATCAGGATTGGAGGAAGACTCATTAACAACCCATAATATGCAGATGACACAATCTTGCTTGCTGAGAGTGAAGAAGACTTGAAGCACCTACTGATGAAGATTAAAAATTACAGCCTTCAATATGGATTATAATTCAACATAATGAAAACACAAATCCTTATAACTGTACCAATAAGTAACATCATGATAATGGAGAAAAGTTTCAGGTCATCAAGGATTTCATTTTACTTGGGTCCACAATCAATAGCCATTGAAGCAGCAATCAAGAAATCAGACATCATACTGCACTGGGCAAATCTGCTGCAAAAGACCTCTTTAAAGTGTTAAGAAACAAAGAGGTCACTTTGGAGATTAAGGTGCATCTGACCCAAGCCATGGTATTAGCTACATATACATGTAAAAGCTGGACAATGAATAAGGAAATTTGCAGAAGACTTTATACATTTGAATTGTGGTGTGGGTGAATGAAGAATACTGAAAATACCATGGACTGCCAGAAGAAGGAACAGATCTCTCTTGGAAGAAGTATAGCAGGAATTATCCTTAGAAGCAAGAAAGGCCAGATTTTGTCTCATGTACTTAGGCTATATTGTTAGAAGGGACCGGTCCCTGGAGAAGGATATCATACTTGGTAAAGTGAAGGGTCAGCAAAAAAATAGAAGAGCCTCAATGAAATGGATTGACACAGTGGCTGCAAAGATGTGCTCAAGCATAGCAAATATTGTGAGAATGGCTCAGGACCAGGCAATTTTTTGTTTTGTTTGTAGGGTTGCTATGAATCATAGCTGACTTGAAGTCACCTAATAATACCAACAAACATCCATGATATAAGCATTTTAGGGGCCATTGAGGGGGAAAAATGTCTAAAAAGTCACTTTTGTTGTTGTTGGTTACCATCCAGTCAATTCCAACTATGCTGATTGGGCAGAGACAATGATAATAAAAAACCAAAAACACTAGATTAGAGTTTTTTTTTCAGAAAATAGCTACTCCTAACTTATTGACTGTCTCATTATGCAACATTTCACATTTATGACAATAGCAAAAAAACAACTATCCAACTATTTTGCCCTTTAATGATCTATTCTGGCAGTAAAGAACAACAAGATGTGAGGCAAATCAACACCGGCTCCAATGGTTAAGGTGATGTGTTAACTTGGCTGAAACATGATTCTCAGTGATTTTATAGTCATGTAATGGTATAATTTGATGGTTATGTAATGACTTAGTCATCCTCCACTTTGTGAATTGAAGGTAGGCATCCTCCATTTTCAAATAATGCATATTTTTGCTTAACGACCTGGCTTTTAGAACCTAATTGTGCTGATATGAGCTCTAGGGGCATAGCGTCTAAGGCATCTGACTGCTAACCAGAAGGCTGGTGGTTCAAACTCACCAGCCACTGCCAGAAGGAAGATTAGGCAATCACCACTACTGCTCTGGAAACATGTTTATCTATCTGTACTAACTGAATCAAGATAAATGGCAAATCAAAAAACAAACCCATTGCCTCTGAGTAGATTCCGATTCATGATAACCCCATTTGACAACATAGAACTGCTCTATAGAGCTTTTATTTATTTCTTTTTTTTGGGGGGTGATGGTGGCAGAAGTCAGACCTTTTTTTCTGCAGCACCATTTACTGGATTTTCACCCCCAACTTTTAAGTTAGTAGGTGAGCACTTATCAGATTACACCATCTAGAGATCTTAGAAATGAATGGCAGAAGCTTCTTAATGCTGAGGCATTGTCCTGTGTAGTCCCTGGATGGGCCCTCTCTTATATTTGTTAGATCATGGACAGAGTAACCTGTCCTGTTGTATTGTAGGTCAATTATTGATAGAGCTTTCTCTCCCTGTGTCTGTTAAGTGTAGTACATACCCACAGAAAGCAACTAGTCTTGGGGTGTACTTCCTCATCTACAGGAAAAAAAAAATATCTCAGTAGGTTTGGTTATTGAAAAGACTAGTTAACTGTCTTAGATCTGGAAAACTAAAACACATTCATAACAGTCTAAGTTAAGCCCAGAATTCATAGGGCTTTAAAATTATTATCCTTTAATATTTGATGATTGTTAACCAGATAGACTGTGACTAAAAGTTACTGTATCAAGAAGTGGCAAATGGAAAGGTCCATTTGTCAGGTGAGAAAGATGTTTTCACTAAATCAGATAATTAGAAAATGTTCCAGGCTGACATCAGAAATTCAGCCTTCATAATTTTCTTGTTTCTGGCTTAGGATAATTATTTTCTTCATTACCTTGGGGGACAATAGCACATAATTACATAATTAGTTTGCCAATAGCTTACAGCTCTATCTTTTAATGAACATTAGCAAGTGATAAAAGGACTGTATTTGTTTCAATGTTACAGAGGTTTGGCTTCCAGGTGGTCCATGACTTTATTGGAGATCATTTTAATGAGGCATTATTTTTCTTAAGTAGCCATTTTTTTTTAACATGGAAGTGTAATGATAAGGGACATTTATGTTAGCTCAATAAAATGTAGCAGGTAAATAATCTCTCTTCATCACATGTATCAATGTAGATCTTTCTATCACACATATATGTTTACAAATACATGTTAAATATGTAGTGAAAGATTCACTTCAGACTGATAACACAATGGTTAAGACTAGGGCAAAAGTGCCAGCCTTGGAAGATCTGGCCAGGAGGTTGTCTTCCAGTATCTTGAAGGAAGTTGACTTTGACTTGAGCCTTGAAGATGGCAGAGGGATAGGTAAAAGTGCTGGATGGTGAGGCAACAAACAACATAACACAGGCCACCAAAGTCTTGAAGTTGATTCTGACTCATAGCAACCCTATAGGACAGAGTAGAACTGCCCCACAAGGTTTCCAAGGCTGTAAATTTTACAGGTAGCAGACTGTATCATCTGTCTTCCAGGGAGTGGCTGATTTGTTTGAACCACTGACCTTTCTGTTAACAGCCAAGCACTGTAACCACTGTACCACCAGGAGACATAGTAACATATATGAGGAAAAAGTGAGTAATTTCATATGGCATCCTGAAAGGAATGTTAGATACAGATACCAAAGGGCTTGTTGTTGTTGTTGTTATTTGTTATGTGCCGTCGATTGGCCCCGATTCATAGCGACCCCTCTTTGGGTTTCCAAGGCAGTATCACTACAGAAGTAGGTTGCCCAGTCTTCCTTCTGAGGGGTGGCTTGTGGGTTTGAACCGCCAGCCTTCTGATTAGCAGTCAAGTGCCTTAGGCACTATGCTACCAGAGCTCCTACTGAAGGGCTTAAGTAAAGCTAAATAAAATGCTTCCATTCTGGAATTAATGAGGGAGACCTTGTGAGCTGCACCATTTGGATTGTCTGTAACCAGTTCAGCTATTTGCCCGAGAATAGTGTGGGTGTACTCGTTTTGCCTTCTTCTTTTTTATCTGGTTTCTATCTGCTTTTTTCCCCAGGTTTGTGAGACTAAAGGTGGAATATTGATGATTGATCTTCTTTACTCAGTAAATCATCTTTCTGAGGGCAATGGGGAGAGATCTGGAGTAGAGGGAGTTTAGGGTCATTTTTTATTCTAAACTTGTGAAAACTTTAGCATCTTGGGGGTGCATTGTGGAGGTGGTAGAATACCATTTCCTGTTTTGAAGTGCCTCTTCAGTTTCAATTTATTTTCTCTTTTAGGTTCCCCCAGCTTCTTTGATGAATTGCTGACTTAGAGACAAATACTTCAGATTCTGAGCTTTTTCCTTGTAGTAGCATCTGGTATTTCCATTTGTCCAGGTACCTTTGTTGTAGCTGCCAATCTGTAGATGAGACAATTGCTCCCAGACGATTGATTTCAGGGACTTTTTTGCACTCTGAAGGGCCAGAGGTAAAGAAAAAGGAAAGGTGTGGTGGTTTACAGCAGAGGTTTCAGGATGCCCCTCATCTCTAGAAAGGAAAAGAGGCTTCTTGTCAAATATTCCACATTTTTCCTTTGCACTTCAAACTTTGTGAATATCAACAAGGTTTTTCATAATTGTATAACTTTGTTTCCCAATTATTTCACTATTCTAAGAATTTGACTATCATTAATAGTTTTTTTTTTTTTTTTTAATTTAATCCATGTGTTTTTGTGTTTCCATAATGTTTCTTCAAATCTATGGCATGACATCAGAAATTTCTACCTAATTGCCATCATAACATTATTTTAATAGTTACATTTATTTTTTCCATTCACTTGGCTACTTTTAATCAAGAAGAATTTTAAAAAACCTATATATATGGTCTGACTCGAGGGCACATAACAACAACAACAACCAAATATATACTATTAATTTCCCCAAGAATATCATATTTAGATTATTTTCATTGGTAATTTTTAGAAATAAATAGCATTACATTAAATGTGTCTCACTTTCTATCTCATTCCCAAAATTTAAAATAAAATTAATGTTGAGATTGGCTTGACATGCTTTCATGCTATTGAAAGACATTCTGAATATTGTGATAATAATTAGGATTTATCACATCAAAATACACCATGATTTTCTTCAAAAATCTCATGATTGCTTAAATGTTTCAAATTTAATTTTCTTTTCCTGGTGTTTTTATAGAAGGCTGGCAGTTCAAACCCTACCAGCCTCTCTTTGGAAGGAAGATTGAGTGATCTACTTTCATAGAGTTACCACCTCAGGAACCCAAGAAGGGATTGCTATGAGTTGAATCGACTGGATGGCAGTTAAGTTTGGTTTTGGTTTTTGTGGTATTGTGATGATCTTTGACTTACAGAATATCATCATATATTTCAGGTGCAGAATGATCCTGAGATTAAACGTAAAATCAAGGCACAAGCTTTACTTTACCCTGCCTTACAAGCAATTGATTCATATGTGCCGTCTCACAGAGAAAATGAGCATGGTATACTTTTGACACGGGACACATGCATAAAACTTGTGAGTCTTTATTTTACCAAGGATGAAGTGCTTCCTCAAGCAATGAAAAGAAACCAATACATGCCTTTGGAATCAAAGCATCTGTTCAAGTTTGTTAACTGGAGTATCCTACTACCTGAGAAGTATAGAAAAGACCATGTTTATACCGAACCAATTCTTGGCAGAACTAGTTATTCATTACCAGGACTAATGGATAATAGAGCATCACCCTTGTTGGCTAAAGATTCACAGTTACAGGATTTGCCATCAACTTACATTCTTACCTGTCAGTATGATATCCTAAGAGATGATGGACTTATGTATGTCACACGACTTCAAAATGTTGGAGTTCAAGTTTTTCATGACCACATAGAGAATGGAATACATGGAGCTTTATCATTCATATCACCACCATTTTATTTACATGTAGGTTTTAAGATAAGAGATAAGTATATTAGTTGGCTGGATAAGAATTTATAAACACAGACTATACATATACATATATATATATATATATATATATATGTGTGTGTGTGTGTGTGTGTATATATATATATATATATCCAGCACTTTGTGGGTTGTAATTTGAGATATTTTGTAGTTGTCTTGCAAAGAATAATGTCATTTGTGTTACCTAAATCTAAATCAGCTGTGACAGTTACCGTGTATCCTTGAACTAGTTCTTATGATTTCTGACTTACTGGTGATGCATATGTAAAACATATGTAATCTTGTTTAATTTTTCCCTTTTCTTGAAATTTATTGTAATTGTGTTAGTTCTAATAAGGACCAAACCTTATTAAAGTTGAGAAATAAGAATGGTGTAGGCAGGTTAGAGAGGTTTCTAATTAGGCACAGACTTATAGTAGTGAAAGGGAAGAGGGTGAAAAATGAAAATATAAGAAAAAATACTGCAAGATAATTGTATCCTGTGTCTGCCCAAAAAAAACCATCAAATCTTGATGGCTTAAAATGGCATAAATTTAATTTCTCACAATTCTGGGGGTTAGAGTCCAAATCAGGCCAAAATCAAGGTGTTGGCAGAAACATGGTCCATCTGGGAGCTCTAAAGGAGAATATATTTCTTGCATCCCCAAGCTTTGGGTGGCTGCCAGCATTCCTGGGCTTCTAGCTAGATCCCTGCAATATTCAATGCCAGCATCTTCAAATGTCTACCTACTCTGATTTTACAGGCCTTCTCCTCTATATACGTCAAATCTTTCTCTGTCTTCCTTTTATGAGGATACATGTGATAAATTTAACTCACCAAGACAATCCAGAATAACCTTCTCATGTTAAGATCCTTAGTTTAATTATATTTGCCATTTTTTTAATTACTATTTATTTATTTATTTATATGCCACATAAGGTAGCATTCAGATGTTTCAGGGAGTAGGACTGCATAATTTTGGGGGGTCATGTTTTTTTTTTTAGTTTAACATTTTAAGTCAAATTTTCTTAAGGGAAAACAAGCAGCAGATCAACATTCCAATTCAAGGTAAAATCTTAACACATATGCAATATGAAGCCCATCTGAGTAAGAAGTAAGAAAAGTTTTTAAAAACCCCAAAATATATAATGTCCAAAGCCCCAAAGAGTGAATAATTTCTGAAGTCCTTTGGTTGATTATAATCATCAACAAATAACTGTGGATTAATTGCTGTGAAAACATCTGTAGTACAGTCATATGAATCTTGGATATTAGGCATAATCAGTTAAATCAAAATAAAAAGTTGAGAATGTCCTAAGGAATTGTGTTTTGTGTGTGAAAGTCTACATGCCAGTTGATCCAAGGAAACTGAGATATCTAATTTGCTCACTTGAGACAAGACATTATGTCAAACTGCCATTTTTTAGAAGGCAATTAAAAATTGAAATGCCAACAATGCACAAAGCAAATAAAATAAAAATTCCATAAAGATATTCACTCTGTTTAAAGAGCCATTTTTTAAGCTCCATTTTCCGCCCCCTGGGGGGATCCATGACAATCACAGACACAGGTGAAGTGATTCTCACTGGTAACATTCAATATTTTTTCCACTGAGATATAAAATCTATGCAGGAATTTGATATTACACTGTAACAGATTGTTGTTTCTCATAGTTCTGATTTCATTTCCTTCAAGCTTTCTCTAATATATATTTTTTTGATTGTTGTAATAATGTTATTTTGTTAATTCTGAGTATGGCTCCAGTTCTTTTTTATTTATTTTTCTCTACTGGCTATCCATTCAAATCAGGAAAAATATCTTGAAGTCTCTTCAGTATGACAGCAGCTTCAGCAGAAGTTACTGATGTGCAAGCAAATCATAAAAGGTGCAGCTTTCTAGAAAGTATATTTTATTGATGGTTTCATAGACTGAATATCAAAAATTATTCTGGAAAAAAAGTATTTTCAATCTTGTAAATATCACTTTGCACAGTCTCACTGGTGTGTAGTTTCATGCTCTTATAAGGCTGTCTCCTACTAGTGAAAAACCACAATGTCTAAGTTGTAAGACTAATAAAACTTACCACCCACTGAGCAAGAATGCACTTTTTCTTTTTTGCTACTTATGAATGTGACAGAAATGTATGCTGAGGTAACCCAGTAAACTATTTACTTAGTCTTTTTTTTTTTTAATTTTGTTCTCATTTCTGGAAGGGGGTTGTTTCAAAGAAGACTTTGTTGGGAAAGGCTATCATTGCTGTCTCTAATATTTGGCACTTGGCTGTCCTCTTACTTGCCACTGTCCTATCCAGCCACTGATTAACATTCAAGTGCTGCAGGGTTCATTCCACTCCATCATATTCCCACAGTCATTAGTCTTTTAGAGGGTGACATTTGAGCATTTTGGCTGGGCTATTAAGTTCAGAAATATCCAAGCAAAGGTCATCTATTCTAATATTAATGAGAAAGGAATAGATTAGGCTGTATTTTAAGTCAATCTCCATTGAGATATAAAAGAGATTAAGCAAGAAAAAAAAAAGTCAGAGGTGGAGGAAGAAAGATGTCAAGCCACATGTAGATCTCCTAGGAGAAGAAGTTCAAAGAGACAAAGAACTTCCTCCAGAGTTGGCAGAGACAAAACCTTAGCCTAGAGTCTGTCCCTGGAATTCAGACTTCTAACCTCCTAAACTGTGATAATATAACTTTGTTTTTCTTAAGCCTCTCACTTATGGTATTTCTGTGATTGTAGCACCAGATAACTAACACAGAATTTACTCTGCTTCAGTCATAAATAAACTATGCTTTGCTCTTACTGGGATAGATACTTATCCTGGATATGGATTTGTTTTCTTGCATGCAATGCTTCTGCAAAAACTAACATCCATGGATGTACAGCATTGTGTATGCCCATCATGGTATTCCATGCAGCATCATCTTGGATCATGGGACTCAGTTCACAGCAAATAAAGTGCAGCAATGGGCCTATGCTCTTGTAATTCACTGGTCTTACTGTGTTCACATCAAGGCTGACTATACATCCACTGACAGCAGCTAAGGTGAATGTATCTGACTCATAATTAGACTCAAATGTATGCAAAAAATGCTGTCCTCCTTATAGTTACTGTGATAGGCTGAAAAATGGTCCCCATTAGCCTCTTCTTACCTAACTCACTGCACCAGAGGACTGCACCTGAGTGACATTTCTTGAGGAAGGAACCCACATAACTATGAAAAGTTTATGCTGTAGACCTCTCTCCCACCCTTCCCAAAGGTATCTGCAGTGTTTTACGAGAGTGACTGTTCATTGGAAAAAATGAAGTAATTAGGCTTCTTGGGCATTACTGGCCCTGAAGTGACACTAATTACAGAATATGCAAAATATTAATGAAGCCCACAAGTTAGAGTTAAAGTATATGGAAGCCAAGTTATTAATAGAGTCTTAGCTCAGGTCAATCTCACACTGCATCTAATGCACCCATCTTGTAGTTATTTCTGCAGTTCCAGAGCACACAATTGGAATAACCATACTCAACAACTGGCAAAACACCATACAGGATCCCTGATATGTGGAGTGCAGGCTACTATTGTAGGAAAGGCCAAATGGAAGCCATTAGAACTACCCTTACCCAGAAAAATAGTAAATGGAAATCAGCACTCCATTCCTGGAGGAATTGCAGAGATTAGTGCCACCATCAAGGAGTTGAAGAATGCAGCAGTGCTGATTCTCACCACATGCCCATTTAACTCGCATATTCAGCCTGTGCAAAAACAGATAGATCTTGGAGAATGATGTGGATTATTGTAAACTTAACGAAGTGATAATTCCAATTATAGCTGCTGTTCCAGATGTTGTTTCATTGTTTGATCAAATTAATACATCTCTTGGTACCTGATATGTATCTATTGATCTGGCCAATGCCTTTTGCTCAATACTGGTTTCAAAGAATCACAGGAGCAGTTTGCCTTCAACCGGCTATGCTAACAATACACTTACACAGTGGTACTTCAGAGGTTTATCAACTCTCTAGCACTATGCCATAATGCAGTCCACAGAACTTGATGACCTTTTTCTTCCATAAGATGTCACAGTGATCCATTTCATTGATGATTTTATGCTATATGGACCTAAGGGAGGGGAGAAACAGACTTAATGCTGTAGAGTTGATTTGACTCATACTAAACCCTCCTTGGGTTTCTGAGGTAGTATCTCTAGGGAAGTAGATTGCTCAATCTTCCTTCCAAGGAGTGGGTGGTGGGTTTGAACCACCAATCTTCTGCTTAGCAGTCAAATGCCTTAGGCACTTTGCCACCAGAGGTCCCATATGGACTTAGTAAGGAAGAACTATAAATGACTCTAGACTTATTGGCAAATCTAGACTTATTGGTAAGACATTTGCATGCTAGAGGGTGGAAAATTAACCCAACAAAAATGCAGGTGCCTTCCACCTCAGTATTATTTCTAGAGGTCCAGTAGTGTAGGTCATGTTGATATATTCCTTCTAATGTGAAGGATTATTTATTTCTTCTCATTCCTCTGATAACTGAAAAAGGAGTCACAATACCTGGTAGACCTCTTTATATTTGTATGTATCACATTGGGTGTGGTACTTCAGCCTATTTATCAAATGACTCAAAAAACTGCTAGTTTTGAGGGAGACCTAGAACAAAAGAGGGCTCTGCAACTTGTCAGGCTGCTGTGCAAACTTGTCTGTCATTTGGGTCATATGATCTGGCTGATTCAATTGTGCCAGCAGTGTCAATGGCATATACAGATGCTATTCATAGTCTTTGCAGGAAGGAGCTCTGGTAACATAGTGCCCAAGGCACTTGACTGCCAAACAGAAGGCTGGTGGTTCAAACCCACCAACCACTCCTCGGAAGGAAGATGGGGCAATCTACTTCTGTAGTGATACATCAGAAACCCAAGGAGGGGTTGCTAAGAGTCAAATAATGACAGCAAATAACAACAACAACAACACCATTGGTGAACCACAGAAAAGATCCTTAAGATTTTGGAGCAAAGCACTGCCATCTTCTGCAAATAACTTTTC